TAATCACTGGGATTGAGCGTAGAGATCTCCGGGGACGGACCCCTCGCCAGACGTTGCTTTTTTGACAATAGTGACATAATTTCATGCAGAGAAAAGTGATCCGGCCGGTATTCGAACTCGTGCGGGTATCCTTTATTAGATAAAATTAGACCAACTGATCAGTCAACGTTGACTCGGTGGTCTAATGGTCAGAGCTTTCTTACACAAGGTTCCACGCACGGGTTCGAATCCCAGTGGTCCACTTACACAAGAACCGCCATTTGTTTACCAAACAGCGGCGTCTGGCGAGGGGTCCGTCCCCGGAGATCTCTACGCTCAATCCCAGTGATTAAGCTTCTAACAGCCTCAAGCCCATGTGATCCGGCCGGGTGCTAACGAGCTCAGCGCATATCTTTTATTAGATAAAATTAGACCATCTGATCAGTCAACGTTGACTCAGTGGTCTAATGGTCAGAGCTTTCTTACACAAGGTTCCACGCACGGGTTCGAATCCCAGTGGTCCACTTACAGAAGAACCGCCATTTGTTTACCAAACAGCAGCGTCTGGCGAGGGGTACTGCACGCCCCGGAGATCTCTACGCTCAATCCCAGTGATTAAGCTTCTAACAGCCTCAAGCCCATGTGATCCGGCCGGGTGCTAACGAGCTCAGCGCATATCTTTTATTAGATAAAATTAGACCATCTGATCAGTCAACGTTGACTTAGTGGTCTAATGGTCAGAGCTTTCTTACACAAGGTTCCACGCACGGGTTCGAATCCCAGTGGTCCACTTACAGAAGAACCGCCATTTGTTTACCAAACAGCAGCGTCTGGCGAGGGGTACTGCACGCCCCGGAGATCTCTACGCTCAATCCCAGTGATTAAGCTTCTAACAGCCTCAAGCCCATGTGATCCGGCCGGGTGCTAACGAGCTCAGCGCATATCTTTTATTAGATAAAATTAGACCATCTGATCAGTCAACGGGGTGCCGAAAGAGCAAAATATGTGTAGCTAAGGCTTCAGTTCTGGGAACGGTCCTCAATACAATAGACTATGTATGTATGTGAAGCGCGATAAAATCTGCACACAGAGGCGCTTTCATCTAGGTAAGCACCATGGTGCTGCAGCTGCGTGAGGTTGTTCACGACGGGGCCCACCAACGCCACGCCCCCTACGCACACTCTCCCCCAACGAGCGATATTGGTCCACCGATCGCCCAAACAATCGCGGCACTGACGGAGGTACATGCTGCGGCAGACGCCGGCAGATCGAAGGCGTGTCATCAGCGAAAGGGGAGATGCATGATTCAGCAATTTCCAACGAAACGGAGCAGTTCCGATTAATGACCCCAGTGGTCGCAACATTCTTTTCAAGACAACGTGCACCTGCATGAGGCTGTGACCACTGGGACGAGGTGTTGTTGTTGTTGTTGCTGTTGTTGTTGTTGTTGTCGTTGTTGTTGTCTTCACATTGTTCTAAGTGTGCAAAAAAACGGGGAAAAAACCAACACTTCAGGAACTCACCGGCGAACAGAACAAAACAGGGCACACGGACGGGCGTGGTGTGCAGCCGACAGTATCCTCTCGTTTGAAACACCACGACTACTCAAAGCCCTTGAACCCAGAGCTCCGGTAACGCTCGCATTCCATAAAGCTCCCGGCAACCCACCTCGTCTGTGGGCTGTGGGCTGCGGGGTGTCCTACTTGTGGCGTGCGGAGGAATCAGGAATCACGCCACGCAAAAAAAAAAACAAATGAAGGGACAAAAGGGATCCCAAAACAAAAAAGGAGTTGTATATAGCGCTGACGCCGCTCTTTCCTGTCAAGCCGCTCTCGCCTTGCTGCACAGTGTGTGTGCATAGTGGTGAAAGGTAGAAGAATGCGCCGGTTGCTCGCGTCATGGGATCGGGGGCGTTGAACATGCTTCGGATGTTGTGTAACTGCTCTACATGTGTACGGCGGTAGCTGTTTCACGAGTCCCTCCGCATCTGATCAATATCTGTGTCGACCGCGACCTATCTATTGCTGTGTGTACATATCTAGACGGCAGTGCTGTGCATGCTCGCAGTGCGTTCAAAGGAGGCAGAGAGCTTCGGGGGCATCGGGTGTTTCCTGTGGAAGATGCTGTATGGCGTGGAAGATGGGATATTCAGCTGCGGGTTGGTTGGCTACAGGGAGTACTATCGTAGCTGTAGTCTTCGGAAAATACACCCAAGATATTCTGCAAGCCATTAGATCGGAAAAACGACTATACCTCCTCCAACAGGGTCCCTTGCTTGTTATCTTGTTGTTGATGTCGATATTGTTGTTGTTGCCGTCATTGTCTTTATTGTTTCCACAATTTGTGCACCTAGTCTGACTCCATGGTGTGTCCAGGACCATCTCAACTACGCGTGAAGGGCACGACACGATTTTCCGCTTTCCGCGGTCACAATCACCCAAATATACGCAACGAATAAATTATCCAGAAAAACAAGAGGACGGGGAAAAGACGGTAAATTACAAGCAAGTATTGCCCAGCATTTCACTCAAGCAAGTCCGAGTTTGTCTCTCGAACAAACGATTATCCAGATAAAACACGCAAAATGAACTATCCGAACGTGCGTCACATCAAGTGTTTTTTTTTCGTAACCGCTCAGGACGATGAAATCGAGCTGACACAAGCATAAACTTTCTTTGCGCTAATACAACATGTCAGAGCCAATCTGCGATTGTCGAATCGACGCACGCACCCCCAACAGTGCGGGGAGACTGACGGTAGGAAACGGTGTAAACTTGTACAGTAGGGCACATTCAAGACCTCCGCGCATCGAGAGCAGTGGTCCCCTGTTCACGGACAGATGCCCGGCACCGGTGAAATTGATTGGCACTACCGCAAACCACTCCTACACTCAAGTCGGCCCGTTAGCTTCCTTGCTCATTCTTTAGAAGTCTACCACGTTGAGTCATTCACAATCGGTAAGAACAAATCACCTCTAGGAAAATCCCTCTTCCCGTGGACGACACACACTACCCTTGCAGCGTGCAAACGGTGTACCTGCATCCCTACGTTGGAATCTCGACGACTCTGCCTCCACCAAGTTCTGGTGGTCTGGTGAGTTTGAGCGGGAGGCCCCGACAGAAAGAACAATGGCAGAAAAATACAACAATGTGGACACTATGGTCCGTGCTTGACCACGCGTGAGCTAGGCACAAACCAATACAAAACAACGCAGGAACGTAGAGGACTGAACAGGAGGTTGAGCTTCTCTCTTCCACCATAACCACCGCCACTCTATGGGTGCAAGAACGTCACTCGATGCACATGGGTCGTTTACAGTGATATTTTTGACCTCACGTTTAAGGGCCGAAAATTGATGCACACATTCTCCCAACATGTCGGGTGACTCCCAATCTCAACTGCATCACGGCATGATTGTCCGTACCCTGTGATCCGGCAAAGTACCTGCAAACTAAAGGGCTGTGTATGCGACAAGGGCGCTTCCATATGCATGCTGCACACCTCCATACCCCCAGCATCTAGCTCGTCGGCGCGGTAATCGAAAGCGAGTCCAACCACGTTGGAACGTTTTCGTTTCGAACCCACACCACCCCCCCCCTCCCGTCCGTAACACGCTTCATTTCGTCCCTGAAGTCAATGTAGCCATCACTATCCTTGGCGACCTTACGCCTTTCGAGTCCCTCCTTGTCCATGAACTTCTTCAGCGCTTCATACGAGGCGCTCGTATCCCTTTGCATGCCGGTGCTGACACTCTCCTCACCAGACATAACACGAAGTAGCGCGCCCTCGTCGAAAGTACGGTCAACCAGCTCATCCAGAACCCATCTTGCACGTCTTTCAGGAAATCTGAGATATCCACGTTCAGTCCTATCGTTGCGTTCAGCGCCACCTTTGCGGTCACCACGGCCACCTGAGAAGCGAGCACACAAAAAAAATAATAAAGAGAAAATTCCCCACAGCTCATCATCACTGACATTCAATTCACAGCACCGGCACCGTAGCCCCAACTCTCAAAACCTTTCGGTCAATTAACATCCCGCATGGCAGAGAAATGATCGTTCGCAGTACGACCCCAGCAAACATCGGGGTGAATCAGAATTGAGTCCCAGTCACCGACTCTGACAGGCTCCTTCCAAATTATTGTCTTACCTGAAGAACAGGCGATATTTTCTTCACCCAGCTACGCGTCTCTTGAAATCGATAGCCATCACCACCAGGGCCGCACGGCACCTTAGTCATGTCGACCGGGCACAAGAAGTGCAGTCTCATGTCCTTCTTTCCCAAGCCACGAAGCTTGCTCAGCATGCTCTTCTTGCCATGAGCCTTCGGCGAAGTGCCATCATAACCAACCTCCTTGACGACGACAAGGCGAGGGTAATGGTAGTTCGGGGCCTGCAAGTTCTTGAGGCGCGCAAGGCTTTCCTGGGTGCTCTCGAGCACCTTGTCCAGTCTTGCCGTTATCATGCCCAAACCGTCCTTCACGTCACGCAACTCGGTCTTGGTGCCATCAAAACCCTCCTTCATCTCAGCCTTCACCTCGTTCAACCCCCCTGTCACAGCTATGGCCACCCCGTCGATCTTTCGAATCAACTCGTCCTCATCCGTGGAGCTGCCCTGTGACAACCATGAATCAAGGGCAGGGACGGGATAGCAACACTCAGCAGCGGTATACAGAAGCCGAGCAATTGTGTGCAATATCTTTGTCCCCAACCAATAGCACCACGGATCTTGTGCACAAACGATGTCGAGGCCACATGGGTCGGGCGGGGACTGTACTGTAGGCTAGGCTATGCCACATGGACATGCGAACGGGATCATCAGGATTCACGACACCAGTATATTGCGGTTTGCTGTTGGTAATACGTATGTATCCCATCGCGACGCGAGGGGGCCGTACACCTACCTCTGCGGGCACAACTGATGAGTGAGTGAACACGGCAACATCATTATTGCGCCATGTGAAATGTACCAGGATTGTTTCACCGGTCCTACACAAAACCAAGCAACTGAAAGTAATAGCCGCGAAAACAAAAGGCCGGGTGATGAAATCCTTTGCCAGCGGAGAAGGGACGGGTGGGTAAAGGATGCGCCAGCTTGGGTGAGACGCAAATATATAGAGAGGAGATTGAAGGAGAATATTTGAATGGATGATAGTCGCTGGACACTACGAGCAGGCGTGGCGGAAACCACCCAATCGCAATGCTGCAAGAAAGCGTGCACGCACTGAAGTGAGCGGCTCTTTCGCCTATTGCCCACACCCTCGACAGAGGGTTATTAACAGAATTTCCAAATTGGCTCTGACGGAAAGTTAGGTACATACGGTTGCTGCGGCGGAGTCATTCCAAGGTTTTATGCATACAGTGTACCTAAGTGCCTAATTTCTCTGCAACTGAGGGCGTGAAAAACAATCTCACCGGCGGGCAAGTGAAGGAGTATTGACCTTCCAGGATGACAAACCTGGCCTTCACCTCGCTGAATGTCAAGTCTGCCGTGTGGCAAATGAACGGAAGAAGTCACTCAACAACCTCTTCTTCCCTCCCGCACGACGTGAGTTTCGTCCCATGGAAAGCTAGCAAGGGGTGACGGCATGTCGAAATCGTATTGGGCTGGGGTCTGACCACACACATTTGAGTACTTCGCCATCAACTTCACTCCTCCGCACATTTTGCCAAACGCACGGCGCAAGTTGTATGCACAAAGTTCAAGCTCGACAACGATCCGCAACGGCGGTGCAAGCACTGTAGCAGAATTTCGTCGCTCCAGCATTCATTTCCTATCATTCAGCGGCTGCACAGGAGATGCAGGACAAGGATGAACCTACACCAAACAGGCGCCGAATTCGGCAAAAACAGACAGGTGGCAGCCCGTTGCCTAAAATGTGTGAGTGGATTCACAGGCCGGAGAGATCGAACAGGAATGCGATAAAATAAAAGGTTTTACTCCGGTTTGCCAAAGAGGTCCGAGTTGTCGCACACGGTTGCGACGGCTCCAACCACGCCCCAGCACAGCGGGTTGGCCGTGGGTTTCCTGCCACTGCGAATGGGTCGCAAGGCACAGCCAATTCTTGCCTGTAACGTTCGGTCGCCGTGCGTTTTTTTCCGCCATTTGTTATCGGGGCTTCGCTACGGTATGGACGCGCAGGCACCATGCAACTGCAACCGACGGCCAACACGAACGCTAAAATACAATGACTCGTTTTCAGTGTAGAACCGCATCACTCTTCGTTGTGAGATACTGCCGAACCCAAAGTCGCAGTCAACGAAGCCCATGCACGCCATGACACATAAGATGCCATCTGCTGCGTTTTCTGAACCTCCGTGTCCCCATTGTATTGTTGCTGTGCTTGCTTGGTGCATGCAACACGGAAAGGTCATCTTTGCAACAAAACACACGAATGTCTGTATCTCCATTGTGATTCCTCTGTACCGCAGAGGTCGAAAACATTGCATATGGGGCATGCACAAAGGTTGGAGTATCGCTGATGCGATTGCGTTCATTATTGCGAACATTGCAGCTATGGCAAAGGGGTGAGGGTGAGATCGTAGTAGAATCAAATGGTTGAGTTCAGTTTCCGCACAGGCACAACTCGCAGTTACGTCATCGGCGAAGTAAATGGATCAGGTTGAGTATGACAAAGACAAAAATGGAAATCCCACGCTTGTTCATTCGCAACTTCAGTGCTTTTAATTTCCTCCTTATCCGCTTATACCTCGGTCCAGTCGAATGTCAACCATGCGCACGAGATCAATGGCAGCTGCCCCGAGCCCTCCGGTGTCCGGACTGCATCGTGGGCATCTACTGCCTTCCAAAAACTTGTCTCCACTGCGAGTCGCCTGACAAGTGGGGTGCAACACGGTCTCCCGTTAAGTGTAGCGTCGAATCTAGGCGAATTGAGGGTATGCGACCCACCTTTTCCACCCGCGCATTGCCGCAAACACTCACATTTCTTGGCAAATTGATTTGAGTTCCAACTGCAAGAGCGGACGCCTGGCATACACTTAGCAGAAGCGACAACGCACAAGTTTCACCACGCCCGCGCCCACGGCACGCACACGTCCACAGCAATGACAAACACCTCCAAGCCGGAAGACTCGTTTCCCTGTAGACGCGTGCCTCTGCTAATATATCACCGGCTTCCTTAAATATTAATAAGGCAAATTCACGACCTACAGAGACAACCGACGAGGTGCACATAGACTGACAGGCTTGTAAACACGTCTTACGGTCAGCAGGTGCGACCACTTCAGTTTGCTTTAGTTCCGGTGTTCGAAAGCCGTACAACTCCAGGCTTTACATGCGAAGAGCAACACCTCCAAAAAATTGTATACTCGCTTTCAAGAGCACCATGTTGAAGCGTACATCGTTGTCGATTGCACGACAAAGGTTTGTCAACGGCTAACTACGAGACAATAGTGCTTGTGCCCAGAACTGGGCGCTTCAGGCGATCAGCAATTGGCCTCTAACCTACACAATTGGTTGAGGGCTTACCTTGTTCACAAAGAGCATCGCGTCACCATGCTGAGGGCACTTCAGAGAGCCTTTCCAGCTTAGCCCTGGAAAATCCAACAACATCAAGCTCACGGAAGACATGACGAACGACAGGGCCACCCAGGGCACTGGGGTGCTGATATCTGAGCAGTAAGCTCATTGTCGGTGGGAGAGTATTCCAACACCAAAGCAAATGTCCTGTGCTCATCTTGGACACCCAGGCCGCCATGCACAAGCACCCCATATCGCCAGAATGTTCGCACGCCACCAAGACCGCAGCAGCGTGTCAACACCTTTTCGATCGCACCAGGTGGTACACCTAGGAAAATCTTCCAGCTGACGCTGAATGCTGGGGTATGCCCCGAGCAGAAGGTATCGATCGTGTTACCGACAATCTCGGGGCGGTCTGGCTCTAACCTCAGCAGAACTACCAGGCCCCCATCAGGGTCATTTTCGAGCGGGAACGTTAGACCCAAGGATGCAAGGGTGGGGAGCACATACTCGCACAGACCATTCGGCCACATGGCATACGCCAACCTGGGTTCAAGCACGCCCTCGTTCTTGAGCCTGTCCCACGAAGCGATGTCTGATGCATCGTCGAGTGTGATACGTGTGTCGCCCGTGTCCCCAAGATTCACACGGCCGTCGAAGGTCTCTTGGTCCTTATGGTTGAGCAGGGGCTTGAGGATTCTCGCCAGCCAGACGACGTCCAGAAAGACAAACTTCTCGTGGCGAACGAGAGACCCGTCGAACTCCCTGCATGCACATGCAAAAATGGAGTTTTTTTTTTCAAATCCGTGCAGGATGAGTTCATAATCCGTGTGGAGCTTTGCCGGAAGCGGTGTAGGTATGTCCTTTCCGAAACCGGCGAACGCGCTCGATTTCGTTTGTGATTGTTTGATGGACATACCACCACGCGAGAACAGGAAACGAGGTTTTCCTTGGCGGAGTGGGGGTGGGTTTAGGCGGGTGTATGAGCGCCTCTCTTCGGAAACGCGAGTCCGAGAGATTGAACAACAGGTATGGTTCCAGTAGCCCTAGACAACTGCACAATACACCGTGCGCACCTTTGGTGATATCGTGTCTAAGTCAGCAACCAGTGATTGTCGCCGATTGTTCCTTTTCATAAGCTACACATCACTCGGGTCCTTCGTGATGAACAGTCACCAGTGCCGGCGTCAAAAAAGATAGCACCTGTCAATCTGACCATTGACAAGAGCAACAACGAGTCCCGAGCCTGAGGTTTGTATGCGTCTGCTTCTGAACGTCATACTCTCGCCAAAGGTTCTATCCCCTCTGTGGAGGCGTCCCAATCGTTCACCTGCCCTGCGTGTGTCCGCTGCTCCTGCCTCAACCCATTGCAGTTTAGGCATGAGAGAAAGGGGTACCAACGGCACAATGACGCCTCATCGGTTTTCGCCCCGTTACCTGCCTCCCTCGTACCCATCGCCAGGAATGCTCAAAACCCAACAGCAGTTGATGTGTCCACACGGAATAACCTTCGTCATCTTCGGCCAGCCGGAGAGTTCTTTGCATGGTACATGTTTGCAAATTTCTCTGTTTCATGTGGTAGGAATCTCCTTCAATACATTGTAGCGATTCCTGGCTCAATCGCTCATGTCCAAGCCGCGGCTTGGTGTACGCGCACGGTATGATCGACACTATTCCTCACCGTTAAATGGCAACTTAAGTCAACTGTCGACAGTGAAGATTGGGGATAGGGACAGGCCTTGAGGTGTCAGACGGCGCGGGGCATAGAAAAACAGGAGCACTTCACGGAGGAGTTTCGAACTGTCGGCAGAAGAAAAGTAAGCCTTCGATTCACCCAGCTGGCGTACGAAAATATCCCATCCCTAACCCAATCCACACGTCGCCCTTCCAGGACAAATTTTGGGTCACACATCCGGGGCTTTCTCAGCAACCTGTCGATCATTTCTCCACAAACTGTAAAGCGCGCCTCCTGGAGCAATTAGATTCTATACCTGATCGATAGAGCTCCCTTCAAAGCATTCTTGGCGTTCGTGACGGTGATCCCTTTCTGCTTAAGCTCGCCAACTGTTTCGTCCCATTTCGTGCTGAGATCCTCAACCGTGATTCCCTGGAACACGGATGTCTTGCCTCCTGCCGTTTCCGCCGCGTTTCCTCTGTCAGGGCCGGGCGACTTGCGCAATACGGCTTGCACGGGATCTCTGGGTAAGCAACGGAAAAAGCAAAACAGGGCCGAACGTCATTCGTGACGACTGTGAAAGTCGGCGCTTGGCGTGTACCAAGAACTCCATCCACACCCCTGAATGGTACGGTCTACTAGAGTAGTCGACGCAAGCACTAGCAAGGCACGAGAGGTCGACCGAGGGCACCTCATGAACAAAATGAGGAGACGGAGGCCCCACAAAAAAAGTTGCGGATTCGACGGGGCGTGGGCGGGGCGCGTATGGCTGGCTGGAGATTCAGGGGGGTTTGGGTCGCCCCGCTCGGTAGTCGGAAGGGTACGGCAGTGCTTGACTGAGCTTCAGAGATGGAGCCATCGGCTCTACTGCCGTGATAGGAGTTTGATCCCCAGGCAACCTTTTTGCTCTCCCTTGAATGGTTTCGCTGATATTTGAGAAATTCTCGAATACTACGAGAAAAATTGTCTGGGTCTCCTGGGTTTCATGTTTGCTTTTAGATTTGGGTTAGAACGAGCGTCGGTCCGCGCGTGTTTCACACAGATATTGCAGGGCTGCTGAATGCACGGTCGTGAGCCGTAGTAGTGACTGAAATTTCCCCAACACCCCCGCAGGCTCCACGTTGTATTCGACAACGTCTACGTCTCGTGAAGACATTCGAAAGAATAGACTGCTGTTACACTCCTTCCTAGAGGGCCTAGATATTGCTCCGTAACATACGTGGTTCAATAGCGGCATATCTGGGTGCGCTCGTGCTGTTCCTGTAGGAGCTATTTCCCAAGTAACGGCGTTATGGTAAAAATGGGCTTCTACTGGTATGGGATTAATGAGCCGCGGGTGACGACTCAATACCTTCCAGCGGTCTATCTGGGATACTGTGCAAGCTGCGAGACATGCTGCTTCCAGGCAGCAAGCAACCCAGAACGCGCAATTCAATTACTTCCGGAATCATGTTCCAACGGATCTTCCACGACCTTGTACCCGCTCCCGCTGGACGCTTGTTGAACATATTACACATCAATGGCCGAGGAACACGAACAATGCATGCTCTCTCTGCCACAAGAGCAGTACGGCCAAACGATCGGCACCTAACAGTACGGACACAGACGCAAATGAACAGTGGTAGCTTACACGAAAGTACTTGTAGTGCTGCTGCTGCTGCTGCTATAATGGCAATGACTCCCATCTATCTTTCTTTCTTATTCTTCCTTCTACCCTGGCGCCTCGCACCAAAAAGGCTCTCTTCTTGTGCATTGTTTTTACCTTCGGCACAGCAGTTTTGTTTCCAGGTGACCCCTCCCCACACACCGCACAGCAAAAACAAAGGCATCTGCCACGAGCTGTGTACATGCTCCGTCTTGTGTCGTCATTAACACCAACCAGGAGGCTACATGAATAGTACGCTCAGAAATTCCAGGCACGAGAGTCTGGCGTAGCCTGCAAAAGAACCCGCTGCGTCTGCTCCCCACACACCGATTTAACGCAATGACGATGACACCCGCCACGAGCTGTGTGTATCGCTCCCTTCTCTCGGCAGTGCTGTCTTGCCCCTCTTAGCGGTGTTTTGTGTTTAGCTAAGCGCTTCCTCTGTTTCTCCTGGTTTGAACCGAGCAACTACTGTTGCGTGTGTGTGTTCCTTTCCTCTCGTCCGACTCTCGGGGGCGAGGGCAAGAATTTTCGATGATTTTGGGTACACATCCGTTTCAAGCACGGCCATCTGTTGTCGGAGCGCGACGAAACCGGTGTGACAAAGATTTTGCCATAATTAGCCTCTTCCTTACATTTTTTTTTTTCCCAGCCGATCGTAAATTGGTGCTCTACAGACCTCATTCTCGTCCAGAGAAGTCGCCAATTTATTGACGTGCCGTTCCCCCGGGGGGGTTGCGGAAGAGTCGCTCTACAGCGCAATGATTGAAAGAGCCCGATATTTAGAGCCTTTCTCCCCCCCCTGAGGATGAAGGATAACTGTCAAATTCTTCATTATTGAACAGGGGGTCCCACAAGGTTGCACTCTTGTCCCCAGCATTATTCTAGGTGTTTATTAACGACCTGTTGGCGTAGAAGCAGTCGAGAAGGGAGTAGAGGTATGGGAAGGGAGTAGAGGTATGGGAAAGCACGGTGTCGGGAATGCTGTTTGCGGATGACTTTGTTGGGTTGTCTGACACCCCTGAGGGACTGCAAATGCAAATTGATGCGGCGAAGGCGTTTGCTGATAAGTGGAGATTGTCTGCCAACGTTAAGAAGAGTGCCGTCATGATATGCAACGAGGACAGGGAGGAACAGCAGAACATAGATAGAAGTGGAGGGTCGAGGAGCTTGCAGTAGTGGACCAGTTCACATACCTCGGAGTAGAGATCGCAAAAGACTGCTCGTGGAATGCACACATGTCCAAGGTAGCGGAAAAGGGCAAAGCACGAGCAGGGAAGCTCACCAAGTACTCGCAAACCGGCACCTCGATACACGCATCAAATGGACGGTTTTGAATAGCGAAATCGTACCGCCGCGAGAGTACGCCGGGGAAGTATGGGAAAGAAATAAGAAGGTAGTCAAAGAGCTCGAAGCGGCGCAGATGAAAGCAGCGAAAGTCATCCTAGGATGCTCCAAGCGCACCAGCACTACAGCCGTCAGGGCAGAACTGTGGATCCAATCCCCACGATCGGGAAGAGACGCAAGGAAGATGACATTGCAGTATCACATGTGCGGGATGGGAGAGGAGAGGTATCCAAGGATAAGGAGGGAAAAGAAGTGCACGGAATGTTGAAAGAAAAAATAGTACCTTCATGGATCAATGGATGCTGGGACAAAGCTGAAGGTCAAGTTCAGGACCGGGACATTGGCCTTGGAGAACGTAGTCGAAGACTTCGGAAGGTGGACGATGAAGACGCAAAGTTCAAATGTGATTGCGGCTTCGAGTGCGAAGACCGTGTTCATGTAGTCGCGGAATGTCGGCTGTACCAGAAGCAGAAGGAAGTGCACATGACTGAGCTGGGAAAAGTAGGAGAAAAGTACAGGGAGATGTGTGAGGAATAGGATAGCCAGCAGAAGACGTTAGCTGTACTGGGGCATAGGAAGTGGGTTGAAAGGGCGGGAAGCGATATCGGTAGAAATTATATCGGTAGGGTAGGGTCGATAGACTAGGGAAGACATTTTGGAGTCACCTTTGGCAAATTAGGAAGAGACGATTGGCCATCGGTGATCGGTCCTGTGGGAACAATGCCCCGTCCTCTCGAGGACGCGTGGTCAATGGTCTAACCGCTAAGGCATGCAAAACTTTAGAGTATGTCCCCCGCCCTCCCCCCCTGAGGATAAACGGGAAAAATGTCGGGCTTCGCGCACCGCGGCTCATTGCAATGGAGAGCTCAATGACGTGGGTGACCGACGTATGCAAAAGAGAGCACGTTAATGACCGTGGCGACCCCAAAATATATATATCTGATTCTCGTGGATGGGGCTCGAATCCCTCCGCTCACCCGGCAGCAGGTGAGGTTTGCTACGTGTACAGAACTACCCCGGCTCGATGTCGAACGAATCCCAAAACCGATAGCCCAGACGTCAAACCGAAATCGATCTCACCTTCCATGCTCGAGAGCTTCTAGAACAGTGAGGGCCATGTCCCAGCTTTGAGGCAGCACCATCTGAGCTCCTCGGAGGCCACCTCCGTCAGACTTGTTGACCAGCCGATGAAGTAAACTGGGCGAGGGTTATCGTCAGCCGCGTCTCGCCAGTCGCACGCCCAACCCGCCTTCGAGGCGTGGTCCCCAGTGCTACTCTCACCATGCTCACCAACTCCTCCTGCCACGAAGCAGCTCGTGAGGGAAACACCGGTCTCCAACTGAACGGGTTGCATACCATGGCGGACCCAGCTCGAAAGCCACGCCCGACAGGCATGCTCCATGCGTACTCCGATTTCCCTAGCGTTTCCGCCCGCCAGGTCGCACTTGGTGGCGACGAGGACAACGTCGTTGTCGGGAACGCGGCGAGATATCGACCGCAGCCACTCGCAAACGCGTAATTCTTCAAGCTTACGGCAGTCTTCCTCAACCTGATCATTGTTTTCGCTATGTAGCTGCTGCCCGAGTGCCCCCGCGTCGCATACGAGCACGCAAACTGACCGCGGCGTCAGGAACATCTGCAGCAGCCCCGTGTAAGCAACCTGTCCAGCGTGCGCGATGCGAGCTTAACATCAAACATCATCGACAACGTGGCCTCTCATTGTTGGAAGTGCGTCGCCTCCAACTGTTAACGAATCCCCATGGAACCATTCGAGCCCCTCCAAGATCCGAGCTATATCCGAAACGAGAAGCAGAAACGTGCTCTAGATACCCCCCGCCACCCTCCACACGTTAGGGGCGTAACGAATGCCCCTAATCGAATAGGCGCATAGAGCAAATCCAACCGGGGTCTTGTCATTGGCTTGGGGGATGCGCTTCGAAAGCGGCATGGTTGGATGGCAGTTGTTCGGGGGCGGCCAAAGTAATCCCCCAAAAAGGAATCGGCGCAACAACCGTTTCCCCTGGTTGATGCCAAAAAGTCAAGTTGGCGTACGCGCCAAGATGAGCACAAACGTTCGCTCAGCCTCGCAGAGTCTGTGCCATACCACACCTGGGCAACACAGTACAACATACAGGCCGGTGGTGAAGCAACTCAAGTAGTCCACCGTAAATAATATATACTGAAGTACCATGTTCATTACGGCGGGAGACAATACTCATTCAGGAGGACACCTTGGAAGCGAATTGAGTTGACGATTTAGATGGCATGGTAAGACTTGCTCCACCTAGTCCATAAGTTGCACGTTAGGGGGAGAGCGAGTGCTCCCCGGGTAACGGTCTCACGTAAGGCCTCCATCGAGCACCTTACAAAAAATAGTCTAGCATGCAAAACATCTGATACCTGTCCAGCGCAGTCGTAAACCCGTACAGATGAGCCTTCTAGCTCCATGGGCTCCACGTCTGCAAACACCGTGCTCTCCTCCTTCCACTCGCCCGTGGGGGTTGCTTCATTGGCCTTCATGCTACGGCGCAAGCTGCCACACGTATATGTAGACGAATTTCACGACATATGAGCAGCACGCTTTATGAACAACATGTCGCACAAGGGTCTGGTGGGAGAAAATGGTGAAATCACCCGTGGTTGGTTTTCAGGAGCCTTAAGTCGAAAGCATGCTATTGCGTAGCTGGGGCAAACAGCTATAGTTTGCCCATGTCAGCAACCATCTGATCCTAAGGCCGCTTCTTACGCATGGCGTTTTCTGGATTTTGGATTTGGGGGGGGGGGGTCCTTTTCTTAGCCCAAACAATTATTTGGGCTGTTTACGCGGGGGAAAATGGCCAATTATCACAGCACCAATATTTCCAAGGATTTCCGGCGGCCTGTTAGAAATTGGGGGGGGGTCACCCCTGGTCACACCCCGATCATGCCAGAACGAGGAACTACACCGCCTTCTGGCCAAATAGAGGCCAGTATCATGAAGTCATGCACAAAACCCCTGCAGGTACCCAAAATTCAGGGCGTTCTGCGTCGTGTTCGCCGCACACGAGCGGAAAAGGTCAACCCTGCCACATTGCTCTGCTGACGTTCTTGCCTTTCCGCCTAAAAGAGCCGTTTTTGCGCCTGCTGTATGTGTGACCAGTTGAAAATGCACGCCAGAGAGAGGCTTGAGGCCGTCGACATCCACAAACTGTAGCTAATGGTGTGTGGTCATACACATACCCTCTGCTCGCGTCCCAGAAACGAGCGTATTGTCCAGTTTTTGAGTGAACACGGCCTGCAACGTGAACCGAAATATGTTTCGGTGTTGACTTTTCCACTTTTTTCTTGTTCCGCCGCGTGTTTGCTCCGTGTGTCACCCGGTATCAGTCAAAAACGCATGCCAGAGGGAGGCTTTAGGCCGGTGACATCCACACACTGCAGGAAATGGCGTGTGGTCATGCACATACCCTCCGCTCACGTCCTAGAAACAGAGCGTATTGTCCAGTTTTGATTGCACACTGCTTGCAAACGAACGGAAGTGTGTGTTTGGTGTTTACTTTTGTGGACTTTGCCTTTTTTTGCTGGTTGCTGGTAGTGTCATCAGTCCACAACGCATGCCAGAGAGAGGCTTTTCGCCGACGACATCCACAAACTGCAGCCAATGGGGTGGGACCCTACACATGCTCTCTGCAGGCGACCCAAAAACAGGGCGCTCGGTGTCTTGTTGGTCGCACACGAGCCAAAACCATGAACTGAACCATGTTGTGACCCCAAAACACTTGAATCGGCCTTCTTTCCCCCCAAAAAAAACAAATTCCTCGAGGAACCGTAAGAAGGTCGCTTGGGATCTGGATAATTTTTCCCGTGCAGCCCCCCCCTCCCCCCCCCCAGAGCGAGCAAAACAAATCCCCGAAAAAATCAGAGCTTGAGCATCAGCCTAACGCTTTGTTCGATGCCATCATTTCTGCAACAAAAATCGGAAGATACTGCAAGTTGCGAGAGATCGCACCCCATATATATCGACTTGTATTGTCCCTCGACTATTCCACAACCGGCAGCACCCTGGAGATATCGTCGAGAGCTATCCTTAGACCAACCGACATGTTCCGTTCTTGGAGCAATCGAGCATTGAGAGTTGGTCTAAGAAGGTGGCCACCACTCGAACAGTTACGGTAATCCACAAATAGAATGGAAACCATGGAGGAGGGCTCCAAACGTGAAAGGGGGAGGACATTTGGCCAACCGTCGTGATAAAACATGTGTTTCTCTGGCAACATCATAGTTAATGCTACACTCAAATGTTGACGTGTCGAACGGTTGGGGGCAACCACGTTTGGTGGGAGTGTGGCAAACAGCAAGACAATCACACCACTGACCTCGTTTTCCCTGCGCCCTCTTGCCCAACAAGAACAACCTTGACGCTGCTGCGCTTGATCCGACAGGGCTCGGTATACAGGTCTTCGAAATAGCTTCTGATACTCCGCGGGCCTTCGGCCACGATCGACTCTGGCGGCTCAACCCATGGGTTACCATTGAGAAAAAGCGTGAACCCCTCCTCTCCAGCACCACGGAGGACGCCAAGCAACCGACGCAAGCGAGATGGCAATGGCGAACCTACCGAGTAACATATGTCGCGTGGGTATTTTAAGGGAGAAACACCTCCCTCGAGTCGTCAATGATCACGAGACCAAAGGATGTACGTCCCAGCGGTAAGCTATAGCGTGGGGATGTTCGCAGTTTCTACGTACCTTAAGGACGCGAGAGAACGCATATTTCGGTGATATTGCACGTACCGGCGATATCCCACCCCCGTGGGATAAAATCAAAGAACGAAATGCCTCATTCGATTGTCGTACGAGGGTTGGGGATATCGCACGGGGATGCGATATAATCGACACCGCGTGCCCCGAGTGGTTCCCAGACACTCACTGCGCCAGAAGTACGTCGTGGTTTTATTACGTGAAGGGTATTGGAGCACGCATGGTGGCATCGCGTACCGCGTATTGAAACAGTGTGTGTTCTGCGGTACGGCCGTGACATGTTGGGTATCGCACGTATCGGAGTTTTCGCACAGGGATCTGCGTCGAAGCAGTACGACCGCTGTAGGGTTTATTGTTTACTCAGTATCGCCAATATCGGGGTTTGGGTGCGATCGATTTTCAGAGTCGAAATGATTAAATTCGATCATCACACTCGGATCGGTGATATCGCACCGGTGGTATAGCACCCCCCCAAGCGCTAGAAGCTCAAAAGGAAATCAGTTAAAAGTCAGTCCACCCCCGTGCGTTCTCTCGCATTCTCTGAGTAACTTGCTAAGGTTTCTCTTGTGGTAGATTCAGGATGGACAAAAGTGCCAAATGAGAGCGTGCCGCTGTGGCAGGTGCGGCATGTACGACAATCAACATGGCAGTTACCGCCCAAGATGCCCCACATCAGTCTTGGTGCGACAGAAACACTAAATAATTATACAAGAACTTGTACGATATACCAGGTATATCAGGCGATATATCAGGCTCGCTCGTTGATACCAATGATGCGCAACGGAGACGGTGCCTGTGCCTGCCTTTCGACGCAAGCATTCACTCTGATGAGCTGAGCAGTCAATTTAGGCGCTGGTGACGGCATCGAGGACAGCCGGCATGATGTACACGTGCTCGCCAGCGATATGTAGAATAAAACCCACGCCAACTGCAGTTTGTGTCGCTCACAGGACGGCACTCACTGTGTCGAGGATACCCCTATGCATGCGTGCTCAACATAGGCGTACCTAACATGCTGTAGCCTCTGTCATTGTGACCAGCATCTTGAGTGTCTTGGGTGTGGTCCCAGAGAGCTGTCCAGAGAACCGAAAAACAGGCAGTAACGTAGAGCCAGAGTGGACCGGGGCAGGAAACACAGGGCAAGTGTCAACGCCTTAGGTCGTAAACATGCACGAGAAACCGATAGCACAGGGGACCAAAAGGGCATGAAAGAAAATCATCCCGCAGCCAGGGGATTGTGGACGTGAGCCACCATGCACCTTGTGAGGATATTGATGTCAATTCCTGTATCAAAACGAAAGAGTGTTGATCACTGATCATTGCTCCAGCATGGGAGGGGCCGGAAATTTCAAATCGGCTCGTTTTGAGGGCATCTGGTTCTGCACACCAGCGTGCTAAGGCGACCCTTGCCTCCGAACCAAAGAAGTGAAGATCCCGCTCACGATTGCTACTCCAGTCATGAGGAACAACACGACAAAGAAACGCGTGATTGATGAAACAAAACGCGTGCTCGTTCCGGAGCCTGCTACGGCCGCATTTCTCGATCCTCGAAATCGGCGAAAGCTTGCCAAATGGGTAAAGCCATCAATGCACTGTTGGAGCGTTCACACCCCTTCGACAGAATGTACGAGAAACTCGCCATACAATACAACAGAAAAGGTTGTCATATGCAACCGATAAACCGACACATCTTGGGCGTTGGCAGATTCGGCATGTCACATGGCAGCACTGCCCGGTAGGCTCGAGCGAAGCGTCGATGTGATACCACCTACAAAGTAGAGAGTTACAAATGATAGAATCTGGGAATTGATATTTGATTGGTCCTTCGTTTTTCTTTCCTTGGCATCGTGTGTCGAGCCGGAGTGAGGGCCCTCACTATTTTGGTCTGGATGGGGCCGTCCTACTACGAAACCCTTTTCGTTTTCCGGTTGGTTTGTGCTCTGGCGTTTCCATGTAAATTTTCTTTTTTATTCTTGAGGAAAGTCCTGTATTTGGCTCTTCAATTCAATATAACAGTTGGCCTGTGACCACGGAATGAGTCGGTGCCACTTAGGTTGGTATGGATGGTACCGAGTAAAGACCGGAACGGTAATAAATGAGCAGAATAAAACAACAACACTTGTTTGCGCTGGAGTGTTGATGTATTGTTGTTGCGGACTTCCATAACCCCCTGACGTTCGAAAGCTCGACACTAAGAGTTGAGCCGATTGCCTTAGCTCGTTTCTAAACAGAGGAATTCAACACATTGTCGATGATGGTTGTTAGACAACTGCGAACGTAGATCTCTGGAGATCTTGGTACGCTCAACGACGGGTGAGAAGGTCGCGTCATTTCTAGAAACAACCGATTTGTTTTAGGTATGCTCTGGCTTGTACATCTGCAAGGACCAAACCAACAGCACCTACGCATATATAGCGGCTCGGAACGCCTCGACCTCAGGTGGAACAAGTTGGATGGCAAGTCCAGGACGCAAACAGCGAAAATGACTCAATGAACGTCTGCGAACAAACAGCATGGGTGATAAGTCGAAAGCAAAAAAAACTTGTTGCGGTTCATCTTGACATATATGCGAACCCACAACAGGTATTCGCCATAACTCTCACCGTTTAACCGGTTTCCTCCTAGGTCGAGGTAATGCAGGGCTCTAAGGTTCCCCAGCTCCGTGGGGATGGAACCTGTAGGGGATAAGAACAGTCCAAAATCAGCGCATGCGGGATCGATACTGTTTGTTCGTGAGGCAAACAGCATAACGTGAACGTATTGACTCACCGCAGAGCTTGTTTCCGCCGAGTGCGAGGGTGTCCAACGCTGTTAGGCTTCCGAGCTTCGCCGGGATAGTACCTGCAGTGAACAAACGAGTACGGATCGAACGGGGGGTAGAAAATAGTAAGATGGATTCCCTGCGGTTTCTAGTACGCCAAATCACCCACGCATTGGCAGGACTCATTCCACAAGTTACACCAGGAGGCTCACCGCTTAGCTGGTTACGCCCCAAGTATAGGTATTGCAGCGCAGCGAGGCTCCCCAGCTCCGGCGGGATGCCGCCTGCAAGCAGAAGAGCAACAAATGTTCAAAGGGAAATACCATAACTTCCCCGCCGTCTAGAAGATATTTTGTTCTTGTTCTAGAACCTCTATTTATATCCTAGGCCACCGTGCTGCCTCGTCGCAGTGTCAATACCAATGGAGCTGGAAGCCGCTCTAAGGAGCTCTGCCTAAAACCGGCATTCAGCTATGTGAGAGAGAAAAAGACTACACTTGCGCTTTATGCCCGCAGAGACGGCTGGTTCTAGAACATGTGCCCCGCATTAGGGTGGGCGGGGTAGATGCATGCGGCAGTACTCCTTGCATCTTCGCTGCCCGTCATGATCGCCAAAATGACTCACCGCTGAGCTTATTTCTCTCAAGCACGAGTACCTCAAGTTCAGTGAGGCTTCCGAGCTCTGGCGAGATGGGACCTGAGTAATTTCAGCGAGAAACGCAAAGTCATTTTCCCTGGCTTCGGACAACTCTTTCGATGATGCCTTGTCGAACACCTATCGGAAGAATCGGAGAGTTGGCACAACTACAATAGGGGATCGTTCCTCAAGCATTTCGTGCTCGATCTAGCTTCGTACCCCTTCGCTAACTCTGCGATCTCCGCGACATATGCAATTAAACAAGGTCGTTGCAATTGCGAAGCACGCCGGTGCCAACTCTCCAATACGTGGGACGGTGAACAAATGTACAACACCCGCGATGCTGAGCCTCCGCGCGTATTTCGTACATCAAGCGATGTAAAGCTTTCGGCCGGGCCGGGGGGCGGGGGTGTGGGGAGATGAGGCTGTATAACCGATCACTGGGCTGTCGACCACGAACGAACGGGAAGCAGTGCGCTTGGTTCGCGGTAAGGGCATGGCGTGGTGGAATGCGAGCTTTTTTATGGCAGTGAACGCTCGGGCAGCCTGCTTCAAGCGCCTTTCAGCGTTATCCGTCGACAAGTATGAGTTTCAATAGTGGCGAGTACAGCATACTGCGGCACCCGGGTTCTTTCAAAAATGTGATGGCATTGCCACAGTTTGTCGAGTTCAATCAATAAACATTTGAGCCTGAATTGCGACAACACATCAGCAAAACATTTGATCCTCGACAGAGCCTTTCAAAGCATCACTCGCCGGTTGATTTCCTGGACTCACCATCTAACTTGTTATCGCCGAGATGGAGGTGCTCCAAGGCGCTTAGATTTCCTATCTGCGGGGGGATGTGCCCTGTAGATATCCAAGTCAAGGCAAGACGCATTGTTGGAGTTCCGAAAACAAGGCGTCTTGCTCTTGTTCAATAAAGACGCGCTTTTCCCCGTCAGTAGTACGTATTGCTCTTTCGCTGCAGGCCCTATCCCACCGGGGACAAGAATATCAATGGCACTTGCCCACCACACGAACGGGCTCAACGGCCAACTCGCGATCAATATGTTTCCCTCCTAGTTGCCGATCACAAGCAGCGAAACAGGCAGGAACAGCAGCAACAGCACCAGCATCACCAGCACCAGCACCAGCAGCCACCGGCTTGGCAACGAATATACCGTAGCACGTGCTGCCATTCTCAGTGGATTTGCCTCCCTCTCTCTCCGGCGTTTGTGCCATGGGGTCCCCAGGTCCGCGCTGCTCAGGGGCTCACTTCACTGGCCACAGCCTCATCTCGACGCGACTGTAACCCAGCTCAACCCTCACTCACGCGATGTTCGATATTGTGCCGCGCACCCAACTTGATATCTAGGTCTAGATTCTTTAAAAAGACGGTTGTGGATCTTCCCGGCTAACGCTTGGTCTGGACGCGAATAGTTGGGGTGAAAATCCGGTTGAGACCGAGCCTCAACTACAGGTGACAGACTTATAGAACCCAGTGGAGTAAATTTCTATAATTAGGGTACACGATGACGGTGCAAGCTTCTTACCGGTAAGCTGGTTCTTGTTCAGCCAGGCCTCTTTCAGCTCGGTGAGAACTCCCAGCTCCTCAGGTATAGGCCCTGCAAGAAAACGCAGCACACGAAACAAAAAACAGGGGGGTAGCATGTCGTTGCTACAGAAGTCGAAATGACAAATTTTGTTGTCCAACGACCAAGAACAACCCCCAACTTGTTCCGACCAAGGTGGTGGCGCTGCAATGCGCTAGGGCTTCCTAGCAGCCGTGGGATGTGTTTCGTGGCAAAGCAAGCCAAAACAATGTGCACTATTGATTCGGAAGAAGATTGAAGTCCTGTCGTATGCGCTGTGGACACCAACTCACATAGGAACGTACATCATCTTAAAGCGCGGCAATTGAACGGGTTGCTGTTGTAGAATGGTTTTAGGAAATCAATTTTGGATCCTGATTTTCTCAACGCACTCCAAATAAGCGATACGCCGGAGGACCTGGGGAATATCCGAGCTCTGAAAGAGCCGTGTCTACGCGATAGCAACCTGGAAGGAATAGACATCGAATACACGTTTTACGTTGGAGCACGCCTCGTGCAAAAACACATGGCAGCACTCCAAAACACACACTCTGCTGGGAACACGAAGTCTCAGGAATGGTCAAGCAATGTAATCTCTTGACGGATGCACATGTCAGGAGCAAATGCCGAATAACACCTTGGAGGTTGTTCTTGTTGAGGAAAAGCCGCACCACGCGGCCCTGGTCGTTGACTTCGACTCCGAACCATGTTGCCAGCCCAGCACCTGTGTCCCAGTCGTCGCTCTTAAACCATCCAGCCCCGCCGGTCGAACGATAGAGGGCAACTAGTGCGTCGCGATCCGTCGAAGCCATAGCTCAGGAAACCTGCACCAAGAGTATTTCGGAGTACCGAACGGTTCATTTTCGACCCCCGAAATACCAAGCCATTCTGCCACTTGAGACCCTCCACCGCCAACCTGCCTCAGGCCAGACATACAATCTCGGCATGTGTACGGGAGCTTGAGGGAGGCGCATACCGCCAGGTACAGTCATAACTTGTAAATAACGCCGTCATGCTGCACCCTGCAATCTGCGCACAGCAGCAATAGTGCCAGGTGATGCCTGCGGGATTCGATGAACGGCGGGAGAGAGTCTCTCGTTCGGAATAGAACTCCTTGCCCAATGCGCTCAATCGACTACGGGAAAAAGTAGCATGTGTGAGAGAACAGCTGCGCTGAAGTCGGCAGTTGTGCACACTCACATCAGCGCTCACTGCTGCTGTATGCTTGAAGCGTTCAAGGCCGCACGGGAGGTGGCAGGTTTCCTCTGACAAATACAGCTAATTTCGACGAAAAAAATTCAGACGGTTTCAAAAATAGAACTAACGGGACTGTGAAACGTGTTCCAACGAGAGTGGCGGAAACAGGCCGAATCGCACATAATTAGAGCGTGATCACAGCTGGGCTGCTGAGGGCCCGTGGCGCCGTCTGCTCCAGCGTCATCATGGCGGACCCACAAGGTAAGGAGTCGACCATGGTACCCAGATAGATCCTTCCTGAAGTTTTGGTGCCATGTGGGTGGCTGTGAGTAGAGTTAGCACCACACGATTTTTTCATGCCGACCACGCTGGCTGCACCCGTTTTAGGGCTTACCATAGAGGCCACATTTCGGGCTTGCCACTTAGCAGACAGCACCGACACCATAATAGTGTTTGATGCCAACCACTGTCCCATGCTGGAGCGAGGAATCGTCTGCGCGATTGCTGGCAATCACGTATAACCTCGAGTTGAGACCAAAATGTCGATTTTTGGTCTAAAAACCGGCCCGCGGCATGACAAGGGCCAGGTACGCATCAACTCCTTCGAACGGCGAGTGCAGGCTGCCGATCAATGCGGGTTTTTGTCACAGAGTATTGCAGTTGTATGCCCAACTAATTCCGAAGGCAGCGGCGAATTTGGTTGTAAACAGCAGTTGCCCAGTACATTTTGGTAAAATTGAGGATGTTTTTGAGACAGCCTTATCCCCCCGCCCCGCTGAAAGTACCCTGCCTTCAGGCAGAGCAGGCTCCATGGGAGCAGAACCTGGCCAAAAGTGTCCCGAGGGTGAAAGATAGCTGGGGTGGAGAGCTTTGAAATGAAGTACTAATATCGCGTCCGAGTAGGGTGCGCAGACGTTTAAGTTTTGATACCGTAAACCTAGAAATGACCCAACACCGCATTTTCCTTGGCGCGCAGGCACAGCAGGAAGCGACGCAACCGCTTTCCCTGCAGTCGCCACTGGTCCAGACATCGTGACCCTGTTGTGCACCCAACCAGCGCATTGCTGTTGGCGCCATCAGGAAGAAGTAGAGACGGCTCTGGGTCTAGAAAAAAACGCTATTAGCGTTTTTTATCAGGGGCTAGGGGGGAGGGGTAGTGGGGCGACCAAGGGGATAAGGATACAAGACCAACTGGAGAAGGCCGGTGTTTTCCGCAGCCAGGGGGACACCAAGCCGCACAGGGTTTGGTGGTTGGCTTTTAGGGGGAAGGACGCGACACGACCCAGGTTTGAGGACAGAGGAGAAGATAACTTGTGCGTGCCGGCTGGGAGCGGTGCTGAAGAACACCGTGGGACCCCTAGAGATACCAACCCGGCCGTTGGCGCGACGACAGCACAGGAGGGGGGGGGGGGTAGTACAGTAACCCCCGACGAACAAGAAGAACAAGAGCTTCCGGAGAAAACGAAACGGAAGTATGTTCTACGTTCAATTTTATTATGGTGCCTCTGTGGGGTTACCAGTGGGCGGTCGTCGTGCTCTGATGACTAAAAGGCACTGCTGTGTAGGCCAATTACGCACTACCATGTACTCGTCACGTGCCTTGACGTTCTGCTGTTGACTACTCCTTTGCGACTACCATTGTATTGCCGAGCACTATGCTGAGGGTGTTGGCTCATGCCACCTGAATATCCCTCATGCGTCGCCGCGACGCTGTCTATTTCCGTTGCTCATGTTGCCGCGGTCATTTTTTCTCTTGTTTCTGCTTCACGCAGGGTGGCGTGGGTTCGGAGCGACGCGATGCACGCGATGGTGTCCACTCCAACATGGGGGTACTTCTTGAACTTAGTCGAGTTGTCAAGACTCCTAGATCTGCCAGCGGATGATCTTCACGCCGTGCTGCAGCCTCCATGTGGCGCGGGTATAGTACAGAGGGAAACCACCTAAGGGTTCGAGGTTCGGCTAACATATTTTCCCCTTCTTTATGCACCCTCGCACGTGTCGTTATAGGAGGGGGGGGGGGGGTGCCGGTAAAATGTATCCCGAGGGATGCCAGGAGACGCTCGACTTCATTGTATCAATGTTTGCTCTCGGAACTGTTCGGAGGGGGGGGGGGGGGGGGGGGAAGAAAACCCCCCCCGGGGGGGGGAAATAAAAACCCAAAC